GGGCACAGCCCGCGGCCGAGAGCCATCTCCAATGCTCCTCTCGCTGCTGAGGAAGCATGCGGCACCGGGCCGATTCAGAGCAGGCCTGGCCTGGCTGCAGGCACCCCTGCTTTCCCAGGACCCCGCCTCCTCTCTTTTCTTCTTGGAAGGAACCTTGTGCTCCTTGGCACCTGGAGTCCGTCACCAGCAGGGCCCTCCCCTGGATGCACAAACCGGAAGGGCGCGCATGGCAGCGCCCGGCTCCTGCTTTCGAGCGGGCAGGTCGCTGTTCCCCTGGCCAGCTGAGGTCGGAGCGAGAGGGGCCCACCCGGAGTCCTCGAGTCGGGACAGGGGGCGCAGACCACGGCTCCAGCCTCCCGGCTCTCCTGTCCTTGGCCGCCTCTCCGCCTCCCTGCCTGAGCTCAGGCCCAGGGGTCAGTCATCTCCCTTCTTCTCTCTCAGGCCAGGGACACCTCAACAGGAGGAAGAGACGATGCCGGAAACTGCCGCTGCACTTGGACGACCGGCATGACGGGGCCAAACGAGGAAGCCCCTGGCTGGAGACGGGGAAGCAGGTGAGGCCAGGACAGCCAGGCGGCCAGCGGGACCTGCGCGCTGCCCTTCCCGACTTGAGGAGAAACAAGCTCCGGTCCTCAGCACGTGGCTCCTGGCTCTTCAACTTCATGCCAACACGTGCCAGGAGACTGGCCACTGGCATGCATGGCAGTTAGGAAAATGAGCGTGGGCAGCATGGTGCGACCTCCGCGCCAGCGTGAGTCGCTGTGTGCCTGTGACATCCAGGATCCTGCGTGGCCCAAGGCCTCGTCATGGAATGCCAAGGCAGGACAGGGGCCTCCATGCTTACCCACGGGACGTCCCAGCCCACGTGGCCCTGGAGAGGACCCCTCAAGCCTCCCTTGTGGGGACCGTGCCCAGACCTGCGCCTTTAAGAGTGGGCAGTGTGGGCAGTGGGTCTTCCATGTAAGGAGAGGCCCTTCCTGGGAGGCTGGGGAAGCCACGTGCACGGTCAAGGCCGAGCCCTCTTGTGACCCTTGGGGCTGTCCCGCCCACTCCCTTGCCACACTGTCCGTGACTGCGAGGGCCCCTCGAGTGTCCCACACTGCGTGTAGCTGCAGAGGCTTTGCCAGCAGCCTAGACTGCTGCATCCCATTTCCCCTTCCTCCGATGTGCACTTGGGAAGTTCCCACCCGTCGGCCATCATGGCCTTTAAGGCTCGAACGTGGCCGTGAAGCAGAATGTGGCTGGCTTTCACGCCAGGCCGACCCAGGACCGCATCTCTGTCCCTTCACCTCTGTATCCCTCACGTTCCTCGTCCATAAAGAGGGTCCTGGTCCAGCACTTTCCAGTTGAAGAGGAGGAGACTCAAGCACTCAGCACGGTGTGGAGCCTTGTGGAGGCCAGACGCCATTTCACGGCATCCTGACACCCTCCCCCGGCCCCTCACCCTAGGCCGGCGTGGCCCCTCTCTACTGCCACCGTCACGTGTCGGCTGCTTTTCAATCTGTTGTCCTGCCAGTGTGATTTCCACGCAAAATGCATGCCAAACATGGTTTGGTGCTTGCCTGAGCATAAGACCGTGTCTGCCAAGCCTAAGGTCTCCCAGGCCTTTCCCAGCGAGTCTCTGGGTCGACCCGACCCGGCAGCACCAATCGCTTCCCACCTGAGCACCCACCGCCTCCACCCAGAGCTCCGTGTGGACGGCTCGCGCCATGCGTGTGGCCTTCTCATGCAACATAGCGTGTGGAGACTCTTGGGACACACGCGTGCCTGGCTCCTTGTCCCCGCACCTCCCACTCTGCTATAATACACTAGCCCGTGAGGCCCTCGAAGCTTCTGTCTCCTTCTCCCGGGCGAGCCCTGTCACAGTGCTCGGGACGAGAGAAGGGGCAAGGAGCTGCCGTAGACCTGGCTGGGACTGGGACCCGCCCATCCGCCATCCGCCCGGGGCCCATCCACAGGCACTTACAGCAGCCAGTCCACGGCCACCAGCAAGCTGATGTCCTCAGTCGGCAGGCCCACAGCCGTCAGGATGAGGAGCATGGTGACCAGGCCAGCGCTGGGGATGCTGGCCGCACCCACACTGGCCAGGGTGGCCGTGAGGCTGTGGGGACAGAGAAGGCCGGTCATGGGAGAGAGGAAGCCTGGCGAGGGCCCCCTGGCCATTTTAGGCTTGGATCTATCCCACCCCCGAGGGCACAGAGAGGTCTTGAGACCTGGGACCCTGACCCAAAGCCAGCTTGGGGTCTGCCAGCTGGGACAGAAGGACCGGAGCCTCAGTCCTGCGGGACCTCCCCCTGGCGTGTTTGGGGCACGAAGAAGGTGTGCGTGGCTCCAAAAGCAGACAAGGAAATGGCAAAGTCGGGAACACGCCTCTGCCCCTCCCAGGGAACACACGGTGTTTGCAGCCGCGTGCGCCTGTGTCTACAAGCACCAGGCCCTCCTGACAACATGCGAGGGTCCGAGGCTGTGGGGAGCGTGAACGTGAGGGTATGGAGGAGCAAAGGCCCTGATCCAGTCTAGCCGACTAGGGGGAGCCACCAGCAGATTCCAAGCGACGCCCGCCCAGATGTCCGGGCGCTGTGCTGTGGGCACAACACGTCATTCAGAACGTGGTGCCAAGACTCAGTGACATGGTGGGAGGCCTCCTCGGAAGCATCCTTCCAGCATGCCGGCCACGCCCAGCACCATTCGATTAACCTAGGGTTCGAGTGCCCAGACACCAAGGGGGGCTCCATGGTTCCACCATGGGCAAAAAAAGGACTTTTCCCCTCTTTTCCAGATGTCATTCAGACAAGCTGTCACAGCTGGAAGGAAGGGCACTTCTGGAATGTGGGTTCCCCTGTGGTTTTGTGGGTGCTGAAGGGGGCTGCCTTCCTTGGGGAGATGGACTCCTTGTGTCTCGGGGGCGGCTCGGGGCCACGACCACACGCAGTCCACCATGTCCCCACGCTGAGAACCCAGGCCTCATGGGACTCACCCTGCCTCCTCCGGGAAAGCTGAGCTCCATGGCCCATGACACACAGCGCCCGCGGGGGTGGGGGCAGCGGGTGGGAGGAGCTTTGTGCCCCCACTCACCTGACGGTCACGATCTGGCCCCCGTCCAGGACGACGCCATTCATCTGGGCTATGAAGATGGCGGCCACCGCCTCGTAGAGGGCCGTGCCGTCCATATTGATGGTGGCGCCCACGGGGAGCACGAATCTGGTGACGCGCTTGTCGATGCCCAGGTTCTCCTCCAGGCAGCGGAAGGTGACAGGCAAGGTGCCGGCACTGGGGGACAGGGGGCCAGTCACGCCGCCGGAGGAGGCACGGCACAGACCCGGGTCCCACCTTCCCTCAGCCCCCGCCGCGCAGCAATGCCTGAGACATGGCGCACTGCAGGCGCACGTGCCACCTCCGAAGACGGGCAGACAGCAATGATCCTGTGGCTCTGAGGCCCGCCAGAGCTGCGGCTCCGTCTTCGGCCGCTGTCTCCATCCTGAGTCAGTCCCGAAGCCCATCTGGCCACCAGTGATAACCGGGCTGCCAACTGATCCGTCAGAAATAAATCAGCTCCCAACAGGGAACAGGTTGGGGAGTTTTCGAGTGACCCGGGCCCCTGGGAGCAGCCCCAAGCCTGGCTTGCTAGTGTTGAGAATGGCACCCAGGCCAAGCCGCTGTCGGCAAGTCACCAGGACCCACACGGGTATCCAGCTCTCTGGATAGGTCGTCACTGCAGCCACCCCAGCAACAGGAGGCAGGAAGGTACACTCCACATGCGTCAAGCACTCGGCCCGGTCAACTCCTGCCCCATGCTGCCAATCATGGGATGCGGGCTTGTGCCACGCAACCCGGCTCAAGGCAGCACTCCTGACATGGTCGCATGTGACCTAACACAGAGGCCCGCAAGGACAAGGCTCCCAAAGAGTGCCGTTTCCACGTAGACAGAAGGACACAGGGGTCTGCCTCAAAGCTCTGTGGAAACCCCTTGGGCTATTTTTCTATTCAAACCCTTGCATCAAGTGACTCCAAAACCCTGTAATGCAGACAGCATCTGGGGTGTTTTCTCTCTAGCACTGATGGCCACAGTCACAGCTCTCTGCTGCCGGCCTGAGCCAGGGATGAGGTGGACATGGCTCCTGCAGCGGCCTCAGGCTCTCACAGTGGGGAAAGCCCAGAAGCTCCAGGGAAGCAAACAAAATGTGGGTTCCAGGGCCGCCAGAAGTTCTAAAGTGGGGGATGTCCGACCTGCCTGTCCTCGCATCCTGGCCCCAAGTGCCTGCCAGGACCTCGGAGCCAGTGGGCCCGTGGAACACCTGGTGCGACTCCGAGTCTCAGTCTGCCTGGCACCCCTCCTGGGCTCAGGTGGGGAAGAGAAGGGCGTGTTGGGGGACCAGCTCCTCACGGCTGGCACGAACCCTGCGGGGGCGTGGTGAGACCTGGTCGTAGTGAGAAGTCAGTGCTCCCGGTTCCCCCTTGCCCGGCCCTGGGCCCTCTCCGGTTGCCAGGATACCAGGACGGGCCTGTGTGGTGCGCTGCTGTGGCTGGCAACCAGGGCCCTCTGCTGTGTGAGCCCAAGGACACTCTGGGGTCACTGAGATACCTCCAACTGTCTAAGTTGCCACCAGAGGGCCTGTAGACAGGTATGATATAGACAGTGATGACTGGGGAAAGGACTGGCTTTTAAGGTGGAAACAGCCTCAGTTTCCCTACGAGACAGGCTGTCTTTATGTCTCAAAAGTCCCCCAGCCCATAGCCCCAGCTGGGACTTCAGTGTCCCCTAGAGCATCCTGTGCCTGCAGGTGGCTGGCCATCCTGCCCCCTCCTGCCTCCAGGATCTATGACAGTCTTCAGCTGGGGCTTATCGTGGAGAGACACTTGAGACTCCTTTGTTTTTCCAGATTAAGTTTAACAGCCTGCTCTGAAGTCGGGACGGAGACAGGTCTGTCCCAGGACACCCCTCTGCCGTCCCCCTGACTCTAGCCTCTGGGACCGCCGGGAAGTACAGGGTCCAGGGAGGCAGGGAGGGTGTTCGGGGCTATCCCCGGGACCTATGTGTTTTCCTTGTGGTTGTTATGGCAAACCCCGAGGTAATTCTCACCACATGACTCATGCCATATGGCTTTTTTTAAAAAAGAAATTCCACATCCAGGCAAAACCCACGTTTTTGCCAAAAATTAAGACCACATTTTTTTTTCCAGATGAAATTCAGGGTAAGGGGAGAAATGGTCTGACCCTGGTGACCTTGGCTGGAAACCCACACATCTGTCCCAGAATGAGACACCAACCTGGGCCAGCCGGTCCCTTCAAGAGCCACCCCGTCTCATAGAGGTGCTGGTGTAATGGCCCAGTCACTCAAAAGAACAAATAATAATTCTATTTCTGAAATCATTTAAGATCAAAACCATAGAGGCACTGGAAGAAAACATAACGTTTTCTTATCTTGGGTAGAGAAGATACTTCTGAGCAAAATCTAAATTTCAGTTACTAAAGGAACAGGCTGACAGTTTCGCCTAAGAGCAAGTTAAAAACATCTAGAGCCGAGTGCGGTAGCACCTGTAGTCTCAGCTACTTGGCAGGTGGGGAGGGAGGGTCCCCAGGGATCGCCTGAGCCCAGGAGTTAGAGACCAGCCGGGGTAGTACAGTCAGATCCCATCTCTACCAAAACATTTTTAGTCAAAAAACTTCTAGAGACCGAAAACACTGTCAATGTCTGAGACAAATGTCAGCTGGAGAGGGCACCATCTGCAGTGTGTGACACACAAACTGATGTCCTCCCACAAAAAGAATGAAGCCCGGTCGGGGGGACTGTGGCCGGTAGGCGGAGGAGCAGCTGGCGGGAGGGGCGGCTGGGGACAGCCCCCCTCCCAGCCCCCACCTCGAGGGAAGAGCTGCCCGCCCAGGAAATGTGTCTCTTTGTGCACGTGGCTGAGGACTCCCGGGGTTGGCGAGGGGCGGGGAGGCACGCCCATCCCAGCTGGGGGGCACCGGCTGCGAGCGCTTCCCACCAGCACCCTGCGCTCACCCTGCGGGCGTCACCTGGCGGCTGGTGGAAGTGGCTGCTGGGGACGTTTGTCACAACCCTGCTCACCGGTCATGCCTTGCACGCCCGTCACTGGGGCGGGGTCTTGGGGCACATACACTGCCTTCATATGAAGTTTAAGGACCGCAGTGAGGTCCATCGATATCACGGCTACTGCGGTCCATCGATATCACGGCTATGACTTCCACAACATGCAGACCAAGACCACGACGGCCATTTACACAGCAATCCACCCATGCCACGGGGGCTGGAGAGACGTGGGACGGGTCCCCCCAGCCACTGCAGGCAACAGGATGCCACCAGTAAGGCTCATTTCCTTTCAAAACGCTCTTCACTGCCTGAACTTTTTCACCACGAGCAAACACCACATTATACCAGAAAGCAAAAACGAAATTAAACAAAGTTGTTACTTTGTTGTTGAAAAGGACAAGATGAACTTTTTCCCCACCTGAGGGGCTCGTGACGGCAGTGATACGTCACCACGGGAACTCATAGTGCCCAGGAGGAGAGGGGACATTCTGATGTGTTTTCCTCCCTCTTGGGAAATGGATGCAGAATCTGGGCCCCACGCATGAATACGCTCCAACTTTCCCTGAAAACCTACCTTCTACCAGTGTCAAATCCTCATGGATCTATAAGGTGGGGACGTAACTGTCATAGGGACCTGGACATGGGCTGTGGGCTCGGAGTTTGCTTGCCTCCTGCCACCTGTCTTTTGTGCTCTGTCTTAGTTTAGTTACCCAGGAGCATGTGCAGAAATATCAACGATTGCAGACTGAAGGGATGAAACTCTAGTCTTTACAATTCTAATTCACAAGGCATTGCTGATGCATTTCTTCTTGCCTATTCTGTGTTTTGCTAGATCCAACCCAAAATGACATTCAAAATGATCTTTCTCTTCATGTCTCTGGGGTTCCCTGGCTTCCTTGGCACCAGAACTCGGTTGTGAAGGAGAGCCGACTCTTGGTCAATGTCAAGTCAAGCCTGGGCAGAAGGGTCCAGTTCATGCTGGGCTCAGACTTGGCTGATTTCTGTTTGAAAAGTCTTTCCTGGCATACGTTTACCCCCCATTTCTGAAAAACGATCACCCCAAATGGTAATGGGGTGATATTCCGTGACGGTGTTTCCAAGGTCACAGGCGAAGTGTTCACAGAACAACATCCCTCTACGCCCCTTTCGAAAACACTGAAAACAAGTGTCGCAGGGGGCAGACGGGCGTGCAGTTTAACAGCACGCGTCCCTGACGATGGCCTGGAGACCACACTTCCCAGACTGGTGTGCCACAGGCTCACCACGACGCAGACGCTCCAGGGAGGAGCCAGAAATCCCACACGTTCACCTTTCCAGAAGGAATGCACACAAGCATTCCAGGGGTAGGGCTTCTGGGAAGCAGCAGCGAGGGCGAAGGGGTGGGGAGACGGGCCGTCCTGTGGTCCTACCTGGAGGCGGTGCCCAGTGCCGTGATCCATGCCTGGAAGATGCCGGCGAAGAAGGAGAAGGGGTTCTTCCTGGTCACGACGAAGTAGATGAGGGGCAGGAAGATGCCCCCGTGGATGATGAGCCCCACGATCACTGTCACCATGTACATGCCCAGCTGCCTGGCCACCACCTCCAGGTCCTTGATGGCGATGATCTTCCCGCAGATGAGGCAGGCAATACCCAGCGGGGAGTACCTGGGGCACAGGGGGACAGTCGAGGGGTCGCAAGGGACTCGGGGCAGCCGGGCCTCCTGCATCCCACCCCAGGAGTGTGCCCTGCTTCTCTGCGCATCAGGAGTTTGGGGAAGGGCCTGAGAGCCCGCCAACGTGCTTCTGCACATGGGGCGACCAGCCCTGAGTGAGTCGGCCATGGGGTCTGGCGGGGCCTGCTCCGGGATCACGCACAGAGACAGAGTCTGCACCGTGGGAGTGCAGGGGGACAGGAGACCCGCAGCCACTCTGAGCCCTCCTGCCCTGCAGACCACAAGGCGCAAGCTGGGAGATGCGGGTGTGGTCCTGGGAGCCTTCTTTGATTTCTGTGTCCCTCAGCTCTTTCCTGGAAATCTGGGAGTAGCTTTTGTGCTTTCAGAATGTTCTAAGTGGGTCTGCACTGTCTTGCCTTGGAAGGTAAGGGATGTGCTGATCTGGAGACCCCATGTCACCACACCCCTAGAGGACGGCCAGGCAAGGGTGCGCGTGCTCCTTCCCGTGCCCACGTTCCTGAGAGTGACTTCAGAGAACACTCAACTTCCCTGCAGACTGTGCCCAGGTAACTGAGTGATGCCCGTCCCTATTTACTCCCTTGTCTGAGTAGCCACAGGTCTGAATGAGAGAGCATCGAGGAATCGTGAGTTTTGTGGTTTGCACAGCTTTCGCATGTAGCAGCATGCAGTGAGGCCTGACGCCTTGAGCCCTGCTCACTCCCTACACTCTATGGCTGATCTGATGGACGTCTCTGCCCGGTGTGGCTGGCACCAGGAAATGCAGACCACATGTGCCACTATGGATACCACGCGGTGGTGGGTTAATGTGTAGGCACCAGCAACCCTGAACTTACAAAAGTGACCATAAAGACTGAAGGGTGAGCAGAATCATTTTAAAGAGGCCAGAAACCCGGCTCTGTTCCCTCGATTCAAATTCAGAAATAAACCTCTTTCCACCAGTTCCTGCCCCTTTGATTCATGGCTTCGAGGGGGAGCAGCCCGATGTTCCTCGGACGGTAACTGTATTATCATGAGAGATAACAGGAAGCCATCTGAGCCACAAAGCATTTGCAGAGGACGGTGGTTAACCACCTCTGAGCCCGAAGCCCTCAACCTCCCCCATGCTGTGCTGCGTCCACCACACTCCATGTGCTGGCGGGAGCCACGCACTGGGCCTCCCGGCGCTCACTGCACCCTAACGTCCTACTTGGCAAATAAGGAAACCGAGGTTTGCAAAAGTCAAGCGATGCGTCCGAGTGAGGAGAGCAGGAAGCAGAAGAGCAGACCAGGCCTGCAATGCTACCACGGGGCTCCCGGCTGAGGCCCATTGCGCTTGGGTGGGAGGCAGAGCTCCTGCATTCGGACAACTGGCCATTCAGCAGCTCGGCCCAGTGAATGGAATGGGCTGCTTTTTTACCATGTTATTCTGCAAGAGCTACATTTGTTCCAGGAAGCTGCACTCCCAGGAAGTGCGCCCCTGGCCTCAGCCACGTGGACCCTCCTGGACAGTGGCAACGCCCTTGTCTGGGGATTCAGCTGGTGCTGCTCAGCACAGGTTTGTTCAGCTTGTGGCACCTTCCAACTGAAACGAAAATATCTGGGGGGAGGTTGATGCCGTCTGGAAAATTGTGACTGTATTTGAGAGAAAGGCTCAGGGCGATGTGCCATCTCCAGACAAAGCCTGCAGCAGGGGAAGGAGTCACCTCCCGACTCGGCTTTCCGAGTATGCCTGGAGTAAGCTCCTTCCCGTGTTCAAGGACAAGTGTGAGGAGCAGGTGAGAGTCGGACACATGGCGACAGGAGACTAACCGGTCCTGTGCTACCAGCCATCCAGCCTGGGCGAGTGGCTCATTCCCATTTGACGTGGACGTGGAGGCTTGGAGAGGCTGCCTCCAGCCTCAGGGGTTGCCATGAGGATCAGCGTGGACATGCACGCGTGAGCCAGCTGGAGACCACCATCCATCCTCATATTCCTGGGCGTGCACACGTGTGCCGGCTGGAGACCCTGCCCTCATCCTCACAAGCATGGGTGTTCATGCATGTGCCTGTTGTAGACACCTCCCCGCCAGCACCCTTCCCCTGACTCTTGACCGAGGAGCCACTCGCTGCGGCTTCTGTCCCACATGTGCTGTGTCCTCTCACCACCCGTGCGTAACAGGTCACGTCTGGTTGAGGAGGCTTTCCAGATCATCGCGGGCAGCCCAACTGCAGATGTCTTCATAAACAAAATGTTCTCTCAAGAGGAAGCTTGTCTTGAGAGGATGGGTGTGTGATGGATGCTGGTTGGCTGACATGTCGGCGTGACCGCTCTCTTCCCAGAAGGCTCCGCTGAAACTTCCTCCCGTTCTCCCCCCAGGGCAGAGGCCATGTGTGAGGACTGCCCCTGGCATCATGGGCCTGGGAGAGCCGCCACTGTGTCCTGACACCCTTGCTGCCCCACCGTGCCACTCCTCTGCTGTGTCCGTCACAGCATCTCAAGGGGCAGACGGGTGGTCTTGAGCCAGGCTCTGTTCACCAAGATGAAGTAACTAAGCAGAAGGTACTCTCCTGTAGAGCCAAGAGGCATTGCTCTCCAGCGACCATGGGGTCAGCTCTTTCCCAAGCACTGTCAGCCTCAGAGAAGACCAGAGCAACACAACGTCGGCTGCTTTGGGTGCCGGTCAACTTCCCTCTTTTCTGGGAAACACCACTTGTGGGCTGGAGGGGGCCCGAGGCTCTCTGCCAGGGAGGACCAGCTAGAGAGCCTGGGAGCGTGCACCCAGGCCACAACCAGTGCGGAGAGGGGCCAATTCCCTCCCGGCCTGCGCCTGGCTCCTGTTGCAGACAGACGGCAGTATCCAAGCCGGGTTCAGGGCCGGGGCTGGAAACACGGTAAGCAGCGGCCTGTCATTCCCGTGTCCGGTGTCGGGGCTGGTGTGAGTGGGAACAGAACACGGGAAGAGCCTGCTCCGGGTGTCATGTGGAGCCTCTCCCCACCTGTTTTGAAACACGTCGCGTCAGTTTCACTCGGAAGCGGGCCAATGTCCTGGGTTCCACGTCCGTGAATTTCGCCACGGAAAGTGATATTCCAGGAGAAGAAGGCAGACACCGGCATCCAGGGTCCACCCTCAGAGCTTCTGCGATGGAGCAATCAGCATCGCAGGCCAGAGCACCCCCGGAGCCCGAGGCACTGCTGAGGACTCCGAGACCAGGCGAGGTCCAGGGACCGTCGGTCGGTTTCCACATGGGCAGGACTCTCCCACATGGGAAGGACATGCCCACAGAGCCTGGGAGAGCCACTGGCTCCACGCTGCCCCACTGCTCCTCTTCCCCGCACTGTGCACGGCTTTCAAGGTCTCTGTCTCACCACCAAGGCCACTGTGGGGTCCTTCCTGTGATGCCACCCACTCTGGCCTCACCCGCTTTGCCCCTGGGCCCTTGCTGGCCTGAGGGTCCCACCAAGATGCCCCTCCCAGGACCGCTCTCGACATCACAGACACGAGTTCACCCATGCCCATGGCCCACCGAGGTCCTCGGTGTCTGCGCCCGATACCCGCGTCATTCAGAGCAGGGTTCCTGGGCCCTGCACGCACCCACTCCTTTTGGCCCTGACTGTGGCCTTGGGCATCTATGCTGCCAACAACTCCTCTGGCATGTGGAAAACCCACAATTCCAGGGGCGAATGACATGCAGATACAACTGGTCACTCACAACCTCTGAGGCCTCCAACCACCCCGGTGGCTCATTCGGGACTTTCAGGCCCGGGACAGAGGGTGGGACAGGCCCTTTCCGCTGCTAGGTGCTGAGCACCCACCAGGGCTCCTGAGAGGTAAAAGGGAGAGTGATGCCCGTCACGACAGGCATTACCACGGTGGGTGTTAGAAGATCCCTGCACCACGGTTTTCGCTTCTGAAACCAGAGCGGGAGGCCAGTGTGCCTGGCGAGTGCGGGTCCCATACACGCCCTGCATCTCCCCAGGACGAGCTCAGGCTATGGCGGCTCTTCTCCCTTTGAGTCACAAGTCCCCAGGTGAGGCGCTGCATCTGGACAGCAGGTCCTGGGTGCGCACGTGTCCCCGTATCCCGGGCTCATCTTAGTGTCTCTGTGAGTGTTCACCTTCAGGATCACAGACTATTTTTCAAGCTCATTCCTTTTTCTTCCAGTGCAGGGATCAGCAACCTTTTTCTTTTGAGTCAGTCTCACTCTCTCACCCAGGCTGGATGGCAAGGGTTCAATCATAGCTGACCACTGCCTCGATCTCCTGGGCTCAGATGGTCCTTCTGCTTCAGCCTCCTGAGTAGTAGACCACAGGCATGTGCCACCACACCCGACTAATGTTTCTATTTTTTGTAGAGATGATATGCTGCTATGTTGCTCAAGCTGGTCTCAAATTCCTGGGCTCTAGCCATCCCCCCACCTCGGCCTCACAATGGGCTGGGATTATAGGCGAGAGCCACTGCGCCTGGCTGAGATCAGCAAACTTTTTATATAAAGAGCTAGCCAGCAAATACTTAAGGTGTTTCAGCCTGCACAGCCTCAGTGGCACCTGGTGGACTTTGCCACCGTGACACAGAGGCAGCCACAGACAGTGCGTGAACACACAGGCAAGGCTGTGTCCCATGCAACCTTACATGTGGGCGCAGAATGTGACTCTCATGTCATGGCAACATGTCAAGGAACAGTCTTCTTTTGAGTTTTGTCTTTAAGCCATTGCAATGGACCAAATGTCTGTGTCCCCTGCAAAGTCACACGTTGAAACCCTCACCCCAATGTGATAATGCGGGTTGGGGTGCGGCCCAGAGGGTGATGAAGTCAGGAGGATGGAGCCTCGCGGAATGGGATTAGTGCTCTTAATACGAGAGACTCGAGGGAGACTGGCTGCCCCTTCCACTGAGAGGTCACACACATAGGAGGGACAGGCCCCCACCAGACACCACGCCTGCCGGCACCTGGATCCCAGAACTGCAAGGCAACATTTCCATTGTGTATGAACTCCCCGTCTCGGGTCTTTTTCTCTAGGAGCTGAATGCACTGAGACAACGTTCTCATGGGAGAGACCCCAGAGAGCTCTTCCGCTCCCACCAACTAAGGACACAGGACAGGCCAGCATCTGCAGCCTGGAGAGGCCCTCCCAGGTCTGGCCACCACACCCGGCCTTAGACTTGCAGTTCTAGAGTGTGGAAAATGCACTTCTGTGGTGCGTAAGCCCCAGCGGGTTGACACAGACGTCACCAAACATGCACCCCCTCCCCCGCCCCTCCCCGGTCTGCCCACCGCACGAGTCAAGGCCAGTCAGGTCTGGCTGGCCAGGATCTGCAAACCTGCCCCAGGGAGCCCCAGAAAGGGCTCTCCCCTGCCCAGGTCTCACCAGAAGGCCGTGTGCTAGTCCACGCCCACCCCATCCGGCGAGAGACACCAGGACCCAGGAAAGCTCGAGGACGCGGCTGCACTCACCACATGATCATGATGACCAGCTTCATGACGATCTCGTTGAGGATGTTGAAGAACTCCACCATCAGCTTGGCCTGCTCGCCCATTTTCCCCATGGCGATGCCAAACGCGATGAAGAAACCGATCAGACCTGGGGCGGGGGCAATGTGGGGGGTCACTGGGCACGGATGACCCCCGTGGGACCTGGGGGGCAACGTGGGGGTCACAGGGCATGGATGACCCCCATGGAGCCATGAGGAACCTATTGGGCATGGGGGTAACACGGGGGGGTCACCGGGCATGGCTCACCCCCTCCCCGGGAAGCCATCAAGAAATCATCAGACCTGGGGGGAAACAGCATTGGGCGAGTCACAAGGCACAGATTACTCCTTCCCCTGGAGCCATGAGGAGCTCATCAGACCAGGGGGGACAGCCCAGGGGTCACAGGGCACAGGCTGCCCCTCGATTCTGTGTGGCACACGGCTGGCGGCCAGCCCCCCTCTCACGAGGCATAAGCGGACAAAAGCCTATAATTTCACATGGAAGCTCCTCCCCAGGGCCTTTACACCTCCCTGGACATCTTCTACACCAGCAAGTGGGACTGTAAGCTGCATCCGTTCCTGAGAGGAGGTGAGCTCACTTTCATCCTAAACTCAGAGGTGCCCTCCCGCCCATCACGTAGGATGCGTGTGAAGGCCTGCACCGGCCCGCCCTGTCATGACACAGACTAACGAGGACGGGCCACGGGTCCTCCACGGGTGGACGGTGGAGCCGAGATGGCTGGCCCGGCGGTCTGAGCCGGCTCCAGCCAGATCGACAGTCTTCCAAAGTCAGTGCCTGCGGTTGAGTTTCCCTCCAGGAAAATCTTCAGGGCAAACACCAGAGGGGGAGGGTGCAGAAAGCCAAATGCGAAGCCCCAAACAGGCCAGAATTGCCCATTCGCCTCATAGGCTCGGACATGAGCCGCTTACGGGACCATCACAAGCCCTGTCGTGGCCTGGGTTGGCTGATGCTCTCCTGTCCAGCTTACTTCTCAGGATCATGAGGCAGAACACAGACCTAACCGCCAGGCTTGGCTGCTTCCTCCTCTCCGTCTCCTCCTCCCGTGACATCCCGGGCCTTCACCTGAGTTCCGCCCCACACCACCCTCCAGGCTCAGCCCCAGCCCTGGGAAGGACTTAAGGAGCCTGGCCTTGGCAAGACTGCAGGGCCCTGACCTGCTCCCAACCCCCTAGGGTCTTGCTTCGTGTTAACTCTGCCTCATTTGCTCTGCTTGCAGCCAGGAACCTGCCCTGGACTTTAGATTCCCCAGCGCTACCCCGGCTTGTCAGTCCCACCCTCCCCCAGCTGAGGGTTACCGTGGACCACAAGTCAATGCTGCTCCATCCCTGGCCACAAGACATGCTCGCCTGCCCGATCTCTTCTCTGACCCTAAAGTGTGGGCACCCTCCCCTCCCTCTCCCTCCCTCCCCTTCCTGACACCCACCCTGCCCAGCCCTCCCCATCTGTCCATTTCCCGACCCTACGGCCTGACCCTCCTGGAGGGGAGTCCGTTCTCCCAGACCCCCAGCGTTGCTCTTGCCCTGGTCACCCGACCCTCCAGCCACTCTCCACCAAGCCCAGTGCAGCCCAGACAGCTGAACTGCTTCCTGTCAGATCCTCTTTGGCTGCGGCAAAAAGGGACTGGCACGCACACCCAGATGGCTACTCTTCCCTTCAGCTCTAGGCCATAAAGCTTGACAAGTAGTTTTGAAAGGGAGTGACCGGCCCAGGAAGGACCAAGGCTTGGTGGGGATTTGATCAGGTCAGCGTGGACTAGCATAATGCTGCCTGAGACTCATCTCAAGTCAGGGAGCTCGCCAGGCACATGGGGAAGTGTTCAGCTCAAGCACGCAGGTGGAACAGCAGGTGTGGCTTGGCCATTTCCATCTGGAAGCATTAAGAGCAAACGCACAAGGTCTCCATGCCCCGAGGTGACTGGATTTTAAAACTCCCCGTGCTGTCGGCAGCCCCTGGCCACGTGCAACAGCAGAGATGGACTTCTGAGGGCCACTGGGCCTGGGGAGCCCAGAGCTGATTCTGGAGTGTTTCTAGAACAGAATGGCCCTTCAGGAAGTGGGAGGCCGGGTCAGGTCGGGGCGGGGTCCAGCTCTCCACTCACTGCCACGCTTAGTCCTTGGGACTTTCTGCAGTCAAAAAGCAGAAAAACAAAACAACCAAAGAAAGGCCACCACCTCCGTCCTGGGAGGAGCAGGAAAGAACCTTCTTTCAGCAGTGGCCTGTGAGCAGGGAGACTCTCCAAGGCCCGCCCCACTTGGCCTCACGGAGCCTGGACCTGCCCTGGACGGAGACCCTCAGCCTGGTCCTCCCTCTGTGAACGCGGCCCGGCTGGACCTGCTGTGAGTGGGCCACACTCAGATACAGCCCTCAGCTCACCCACAGGGGCTGAGAGGAGTGAGCTGTGTGGAAACTCCCTGGTACAGCCCAAGGCCATGTGACCCCTGGGAACAGCCTGGAACAGCCCAAAGCCATGTGATCCCAGGAACAGCCCAAGGTCATAGACCCCAGGAGCAACCCAAGTCGTGTGACCCCCCATGCAGCCCAAGGTTGTGTGACCCCCAGCAGCCCAAGGTCGTATGACCCCTGGGAACAATCCAAGGTCACTTGATCTCCCGGGAGCAGCCCAAGTCACGTAACCCTCACTTGCAGCCCAAGGTCATGTGACCCCAGGAGCAGCCCAAGGTTGGTGATCTCCAGGTGCAGCCCAAGGTTGCGTGACCCCCCTCCAGGGTGCAGCCCAAAGTCACGTGACTCCTGGGTGCAGCCCAAGGTTGCGTGAACTCCCCATGCAACTCAAGGCCGCATGACCCCAGGGAACAATCCAAAGTCATCTGACCTCCCAGGAGCAGCCCAAGTCGCCTGACACCCCTTGCTACCCAAGGAGGTGTGATCCAGGAGCATCCCAAGGTCGTGTGATCTCTAGGTGCAGCCCAAGGTCGCATGACCCCCACCCCCAAGCGTGCAGCCCAAGGTCGTGTGATTTCCTCGTGCAGCCCAAGGTCCCATGATCCCCGGGAATAGCCCAAAGTCACCTGACCTCCCAGGAGCAGCCCAAGGTCGCGTGACCTCCCAGAAGCTACCAAGACTCTGCAAACACCAGGGAAGTCTCTGGGTAATTACCTAAAGCCCTGACCCCATTATCCAGGACCTCACCCTGCTCTAGAGTAGGGGGACGGGGTACACTCTGACTGGTCAGATGGGACTGGGGTGCAGGAAGGGCCCAAAGGACGTGGGTGTGGGCACGAATGGCCTGGAGGTGGAGGGCACTGGCCTCCTCCTCACCAAGAAAGCCTCCCACCTCCCTCCCCCAGGTGGCTGGTGGTCTGTGTCATGGCCTCCAGCCGCCTGGTAGCCAGTCAGCTTCTCTGAGCCTGCTCTCACCCCAGCCCACTCTTGCTGCAGCTCCCAGGGACTGGCGCCCCTGCCCCTCCGCCCCTTCTCTACCGTCCTGGATTGGAGAGGAGCTGGGCCACCAGGCTCAGGACACGCAGACCATCAGGTGCCAAGTGTGCCTTGCAATAAGATGAGCAAGGACTAATCTATCCGGTGTAGGATGCCCTCAAAATTGCTTGGGACGTATAGTAAAAAAATGATGGTTATTTGTCTAAAATTCACACTTCACCAACACCCTGTACTCAGTCAGGAGACGAGGGCGTCTGGCCTTCTAGATGAAAGCAGGAAGGCACCCCCAAGTGCCCACACGGCTGTCACCTAGATGGGCGCCCTGCTGCTCAGACATGCACGCCATCACCTGCACTCCTCACATCTCTGGATCTGGCCAAATGTCCCTATCTCCTGTCTCGAGGGCACCATTCTAGTGGGTGGGGCTGTGGGCCCAGGGGTGGGTACGGAGAAGGTTGGCTGACCGAGGCTCACCACCTCCGTCCCTGTGGGCATCCCTCCTGGCAGGCCCCTACTAGCTCTCCTGAGGCCACAGCACATGTGTGCATGACACTGCCCCAGGAGCAGCCTCAAAACCCTCAGGACAGCCTGCAGAACAGAGGCCGGCCTCTGCCTTAAGATGAGGCTCTAGGAGGTGGACGTTTGCCCAAAGTCCCACGGGCAGCAGGTGGCCCACGTGCCACTGAGGCTAGCCCTCCCCACCTGCAGGGCCCAGCATCCCCGAGATGGCTGGGCCAGCAAAGGGCTCGTGGCTCCCCTGGAAAGATTCCTGGCACCTGCTCCGATGGGCTAACCTTGGCAGCGCAGCCTGAGTCTGCAGACTGCAGGCGGGAGGGCCAGCCCCATGCCCTGCAGGGACAAAAGGCAGCTACAAACATGCTTATGGCGTGAAACAAGTGGGCGAGTCTTAATACCTTGCACCAACACTACAGTATCAGGGATGGTGCAGCTGTGAGCCGGCCTCGCCAGTGCCGGACCTGCCCGGCATGCCCTGCCCTGCCTCCCCACCTCCCTCTTCCTCCCCGCTCAGCCCTCAGGTCCCACCCCCTCCAGCCGCTCCCCAGAGAGGGCTTCCCCACCACCTGGAGGACGTCAGGGCAAGCTCTGGAAGGGGCAAGGCGCCTCCCCAGAGACCCCTGGCTGCCACCTACCCAGGACGTTCATCCCATCCTTGAACTCCAGTCCCTTCTTGATCGCCATCTTGGCCTCATCAGATGCTTGGGTTGCCGTCTCGTTCAGCAGTGAGATGACGGTGCTGGTGGCGTTGGCCTCCTCGTCTGCCGGTGGTGCCACCAGGACCTTCTTGGTCACTGTTTGAATCTAGCGGGGCAAGGAGAGGAGCGGAGCGGTGAGGTGGGTTGGAGGTCGAGGAAAGCCTGGTACACCGTGAGGGTCCCATGTGCCCACAACAGGCGGAGGATGCCAGGCGAGGTCACGGAAGCCGGGGCGCATTTTACATGTCCACGGGTAACACATGTGCAGTGAGATGCGCCACCCTGGCACGGACTGTTACGGGATGTTATTTGTGCAGATGTGCGGGGTACATGAGAAACTGCACGGATGTGGTGTGAGAGGTTCCAGGGGCCCTCAGGCTGCTGGCCGCCCACGGGCAGGATATAGTTAAGGACAGTCCCCACTCTACTGCCGGGGCCGGCTGTCTACCCAGTGCCCCGTCTCAGTGGGCGTTGGACCTCGTCACCCTCTCCCATCCTCCACGCTCACCCTCCAGTGCCTGCCTAGGTCTCCCGCTCTGTCTCCACGTGGGCCAGGGTATTGGCTTCCACATACGAGTGAGAACATGCAACCTTCATCTGGCTATTTAACTTAAGACATGCCCTCCAGTCCCATCCACATGGCTACAAGTGGCAAGACTTCACATTATAGAGTTTATGACACTGATTGTAAATGCACTGTAAGCCGCGTGGCCCAATGATGGACACGTGCTTAAGATGGGATGTCTTCCCTCCTTCCCAGGCTGTGGCTCAGGACAGCATCACGTCTTGCGTGGCCGCTGCTCACCACCGAGAGACCCAGAGACAGGTCTCCCATGCCCAGCATGGGCAGAGACCAGGCAGGAGAGAGCGCTGGTCAGACCAGCCCCTCAGGCCACCTATTCTCCTGCCTGGCTCCCACTGGACAGGGCCGTCTCAGCCTCCTCCCAGAGCTGGCCTCTGCCAGGAACCTCCTTCTGGCACTGGTGCCAGCAGCTGGCACCACCACGGCAGGAGCACTCGCTCAAGTTTCAGATCTGTGTCGGGTGGGAGGACGCTCACCCTCCCAGGCAGAGATGCCAAGCCTTGCCAGCATTCCTAGGCACCCTGCACAGACGGTTCACAAGACCCCACTTGTAATTCCTCGATATCTGCACCCTATTTCTAAAGATGTCAGGCACCCTACATGCAGAGTGCTACAAAAACCCACAGATGAGCCCAAACACCACCTCCGAGGGCTCCAAAGTAGAAGGTGGGAGGACTCGTGAGTGTCAGGGCTGACCTGAAGCAAGCGACAGATGGCAGAGCCCCGAATGGCTACGGAGAAGGACGTGGGAAGTCAGGGGGCCAGCAGATGCCATGCAGTTATGGGCAACACTGGGACTTCAACTTGGTGGTCCGACATCCACTGAGGCCGTGCCACCACCAGGCCACGTGGGAGGCTACATGGTGGGTCCTACTGTAGCCTGGCCATGGGAAGTGAGCCGGAACTGGCCGGCGCTCTGATCTGGGGCAGCAAGCCCCACGTGCACTGTGCCGGGCCAGAGGAGGCCCAGGGCTGACGTGGGAGGGACAGTGGGTGACACAAAGCCCCTCGGGGCAGCACAGCGGTAGGAGAGAGAGCAAGGGGAGAGGCAACCGAGCACAGCAGACATACTCAGAAGAAAGGAGCTCAACCCACAGCAGGCCAGAGAAGAATGGAGAAGTTGCCATGTGGTCAGAGGGAGGAAGGTGGGCCATGGAGAAACAGGTGGCCAGAATGGTCGGGCTGCAGGCCTTCCTCTCAGCCCAGCTCAGCTTTGGACCGGCAGGAAGGTCTCCCACAAGAAAGGGTATGTGAGACCCTCTCGGGTGTCCTCAGGACAGGGAGACATGACTCCAGCCCTTCTCCTCCATGCCACGTCCCTTCCTGGAGGGTCCCCTCCTGGGTCCTCAGGGTTCTCTGCATCAGGCTTTAGGAATATGCACCCCTGGGGTAAAGGACCTGTCCTCTTCCTCCTCAGACTGTCTCACCTTAGAGGCCCTGAGCCTGCAGGGACTGAGGCTGGTCATCCTTTCCGAGGCTGGCCCGTGGGTTGGGGTTGGGCTCCTGGACAGGAGGCCCAGGGTCTGCTCCTGAGTGCCGACAGTGCCCATGCGTCGGGCACGGTGTGGGAAGGTCGGCCCCCACTGGCGCATCTGAGTGTGTACGCGTGGCCAGATGCTCGCCCAGACCCAGGCCCCAGCTCCCAAGCCTGTTCCTGTACACAGAGCATGGCCGTGACCCAGCAAAGTCCAGACCTGGTCCTCCCGGCCTCCAGCTCAGTGTCCCACAGTGGCCACGACCTGCATGTCCACTGCCCCTGAGCAAGCACATGCATCTTTCTACGCGTCACTCAGGAGCCCGGCAGGCTCCCAGCCCTCTGCCCCACCCCTGCCAGTCTCCCCTGCCTGGAAGGGTTTCCTACGACGCAGGTCCAGGCCACACGTGCCACCAAACGGCAGCCCACACGCCCCAGAGCACATATTCCAGCCTGGTGCAACAGGGGCCCAGAGCAGTTGGTTTCTGTGTGGGAGGAGGGCTGCTGGGAACACAGGCTTTTATTCTGCACTCCTTGTGTGCTTGGGTCCTTCCTCTGTGCTTCCCCAGAAGTGGCCCCCGGGGCTCCGGGGATCATCTGGGGGAGCTGAGCAATGTTCTGCCCTCAGCTGGCCTCGAGTGGGACCTGGGCAGCTGCCTCTGTGCCCCCCGGCAGGAGGCTCTGTGGGTAAAAATCTCAAGTTTCTAAAAAGTTCACACATGTGTGCGCTTGGTAGGCCCACAAATGCAGTGCCACAGTCTGTGTGGGGCCACTCGGCAGCATCAACAAATCAAAACAGAAGTGCCTTTGCTGGGGCCTCTCGCTTCTCGGAGTCGGTCCTGGAGAAATATTACACAACCACGAACAAACGACAGGTGGCTCCAGGCCCCATTTGTCGAAGGGCAGGGCAGGGCGGGATGTGTGCCAGGCAGGACCACCGGACTGAGTTCCTTAACCGTGAGGCGCACGTGGTCACGTGGCCCAGGAGGCACCATACCCATGGGGAGCGACTCTGGCAGGGCGTGGGCATTCAGCGTTCACCCCAGGAGCTCTTGTACTGTTTAGACCAGTCATAGCCCCCGTGTGCTACTTACACGATTTAAAAAGGTGCCCAAGTCCCGCCCTGCCGTGAGGCTCTGATTCTGCAGGGTGCCTGTCCTTTCAAAAGAGTGCCACATGCAGTTTTGCTGGAACCACTGGGTCCTCCCTAGGCTCATGGGCAAGGCTCACCCAGATGTGCCCCAGTGCGACACACAGACAGGAACAAAGGAGAGGAAGAGACAAGGAGGGAAAGGAGAGAAGGGTCCCAGTGCAGAAGACACCACGGGAGCTGGAAAAGAGAAGGTCAGAAAGACAAAAGCCACGCCCAGGCCTGCCCACCCATCCTACCCGGGGCTGGGCCGGAGACGCGTGGAATGTCCGGCTTGGAGCTGGGAGGTGCCTGGGCCCTCAGGCCCTCAGAGGTGGGGGAGAGCCAGTCATACCTGTTGGAAGCAGGCCTGCACAAGGTTCTCAGGGAAGAGATTCCGGATGAGGTCCAGGAAGGCGTCCAGGCTAGATACCTCATCGCTCTTCTTCCCGGGCCCCAGCTGCTTCTTGAGCTTGGGGTTCCCGGGGTGGATGGCCAGGACCAGGATGACCCCCAGCACGGCAGCAATGATGGTCGTGGACATGTAATACACCATGGCTCTTGTGCCCAGGCGGCCGCTGGCCTTGGCGTCCAGGCCGGCCAGCCCTGTGTGAAGGGAAAGCAGAAGGGTTAGCGCCCTGCCCGGTGAGTGCTGACGACCCATCCCCCCGGCCTGCAACCCACAGTTGCACATCACTCAGTGTGTTAACGCGTCATGAGCTGAATTCATCTGGTTAAGCCCTCCATGGTGTGTGCAGGGGACGGGTCCTGGGACCCCCCAGACCTGTGGCTGCTCATGTCTGATGTGAAATGGCATGTAACCTACACAGTCCTCTCCTGTGCTTGAAGCCACTGCTGAACTCCTCCTCGTCCCCGACACAATGCGCCAGCCACACACATCGCCGTGACACTGTAACTTCACACTTGCATTATTTTCCATGTTGCATTGTTAGTTTTTTCCTTTGAGTGTTTCTGATTGGCAGGTGGCGGACTCCATGGCTGCGGGACCCACGGGTTGAAGGGTCCGTCCCGCAGTTGATAATCCCATTTCCAAGGACGCTTTTTTTTTTTTCAGTTGGAGTCTCACTCTGTCGCCCAGATGGAGTACAGTGGCACACTCACAGCTACCCTAGCATTGACCTGTTGGGCTCCAGTGATCCTTCCGCCTCAGCCTTCCAAGTAGCTGGAACTACAGGCACGCGCTACCACGCCTGGCTGATTTTTTGACTTATTGTAGAGATGAAGTATCACCAAGTTGCCCAGGCGGGTCTCGAACCCGCGGGCTCAGGCAATCCACTCATCTCAGCCTTCCAAAGGCACGGGATTGCAGGCTGAGCCACCGAGCCCGGCTGCAAGGACGCTTTTGAGATTCTGGAGGACCAGGGGAGTTGGGGACCTTCTGTTCAGCTGACAAGTGGTGTGCAGGAGCTCGTTTATCAGTCTGCAGCTGTGAGCTAAGATCAAGGGGACCCAGGAACACAAATACCCAGGGTAAAGGTGGTGGTATTCCCCCAATCCTGAGACTGTATCCTCCCCACCTTCCAGCCTTCATGGATCCCCTCCCTTGTGACGCAGTGGTGTTGGCGTGAGCTGGTTCTCTTCTTGTTACTTTCTGTAACGCCCTCCCTTGGAAGAACTCTAAGCAGACAGCCTGTGTTGTGCTCCGATGTGTCTTGAGTTCAGTGAGGTCGAGAGTCATTGAGGTCAAGGGTTCAGGCGTTAGGACTTGACAGTCCCTGTCAACTCTCCGAGATGGCATGGTTGGGAGGAATGACCCATTCAGTTCCTACTTCTACTGGAGAGGAAGAGCGAACCCCTTCCTGGGGACCAACTCTTTGTGCCATGGGGGAGAAAGTCACTGGCACCAATGTCTCTGCATCAAGCTGACCCATGTTCGACCCGCTTCTCTTGACAACCTAGCATGCAGGACCAGCCCACGGGAGCCAGCTTCTTCACAGGTTGGCTGATGTGTGCTGTTGGCCAGGCATGGAAAGCACTTCCCGGACAGGGGTATCCAGGGTAAGGCCGCTCCCCAGGTCGAGTTGAGTGATGAGACCCCGCATAGGCCCATGGCATGGGGCTGAGTCCCAGCGCTGCGTTTAAAGACATTCACCGTAGTCCCTGGTCAACCGGCAAGACTGCTGAGAACCTGGGAGGGCAGGACCCTGGCATCCAGCATGAGGTGGAAAGGTGCCGCTTCCTGAGGTCACCCAGATTGCTGGCTCCACCCCCTCATGCTGTGCTAGGCCCAGGGGCCGCTTCTCAAGGTTACCCAGCTTGCTGGCCTCGCCCCGTCATGAGGTCCTGAGTCCAGGGGTCACTTCTCCAGCTCACCCAGCTCGCTGGCACCCATAGGTGGTCCCAAGCCCAGCTTCCCACCGCAACATAGGTCTCAGCCCCAAAGCACCCCAGTTAGCCTCTGTTGGAGCATGTGACTCAGCAAGGCGTAACCCACGAGGGCAAAGTAAAGGCACAGCCTCTTTCAGCCCAAGTGAAGCGACTGGGTGCCGCATTAAGGGAGTCTTTGGAGAACTCGGGACTCCACGCCCAACCCCTCATCCATTCCTAAAACCACCTCCCTTGAGGCCTCCCCAGGTCTAAAGACGGCTTCATGTCCCACATATTGCCTTTATTTGTTGCTGGATAAAATGTCACTTAGAAAACGGAGAAAAGCACCCACGAAAGGCTGGATCGCCCGAGACGGCATCCTCCGAACCCAGGCTGTGTCTCACTTCCACCCGTGGCTGCTGGAGGGGCAGAGCAGTAGACTGGCTACTCATCAGCGAGCCTCTTTTCCTCAGGGGTAGATTTCTTTGTCTTAGAGACAGGAAACCCAGGGCTCTGGGGGGAAACAACGGAGGTGGCCTGCGGGGTGACCCAACAGGGCAATGGCGGTCCGCCCCCAGCCCGGGGCAAATGGCCCGCCCGCAGCCACGTCTCACCTGTGATGAGGCTGGAGATGATCAACGGCAGGATGAGCATCTTCAGCATCCGCATGAGGATGTCCCCAGGGAAGGCGATCAGCATCACCACGTCAGGGTGCAGAGGGGACGCCAGGCGCAGCAGCCCGCCACACACCGCACCCAGCACCACGCCTGTGAGGATGGAGCCAGTGACCATCGGCCTTGCAGGCAGTGGCTCGGAGAGTGTGTCTCAGTGACTGCCCGGCCCCCGCCTCATGTCCCTGGGGGATTTGTGGCAGGCACAAGGACACCGGGTTCGTGGTGCCGACTCTGGTGACAGGGAGGTGACCTGCTGCACCTCCGGCCACCCCGGGGTAGCATAAGATGACCCAGGATCCCTCTGGGCCTGATGAGGGGTCTGCCCTGGTCCCCTGACTTCCGCTTCCTGGGGCTGCTGGCCCCGCGAGCCAGACAGGGTCAGCAGACACACTTCACGGGGCCGAAAGCACGACTCCCCCAGCCCAGGCCTGGCCACACGGCACGGTGTCCGACGCGTGTCCTCCCAGATAAAAGGAGCCAGGTGAGCCTGTTGACTCTCTGCACTCCCGGGAATATGCCCACGGCCCAACTTCAAGGTCTGGGTCCTTCTGCGCAACCTCAGACTAGGGTCTGAGAGCAGAGGGGGCTCTAGGGTCAGAATCGGGAGGCATTTCAGACAGAGGTGCTGGCAGGAACTGCTCACCACAGACACTGAGACGCCCCAAGAAAGACCATACGTCTCTGCAAATGGGTGGGAAACACAAATGAACCTGTGGAGACCACAAGCCAGGTCACAGCAGCAGCACCACAGGCCATGGGAGGCAGAGAGGGAGGGAGGAAGGGAGAGGGGTGGGGGAGTCAGCACCCACTGAACACCTTGGGGGTAGGGAGCTGGGTACCTACGGGACACTGTGGTGGTGAGCCAGGTGCCTATGGGACACTGTGGGGGCAAGTCGGGGGCCTACTGGATACCTTGCGGGTAGGGAGCCGGGTGCCTACCAGACACCGTGGGGGTGAGCCGGGGGCCTACCGGACACTGTGAGGGTGAGCCAGGTGCCTGTAGGACACTGTGGGGCTGAGTTGGGGGCGTACGGAACATCTTGGGGGTGAGTCAGGGACCTACTGGACACCTTGGGGGTAGGGAGCTGGGCGCCTACCGGACACTGTGGGAGCTGGTCGGGGGCCTACAG